TTTTTTTTTTTTTTTTTTTTTTTTTTTTTTTTTTTTTTTTTTTTTTTGCTGGTAGCATTATAGATACGACTGCTATTTCTGATTAGGTAAGTCTAAGACTGAGCGACACAAATCCACTCTAGTCCAGGGTATTGGCGAGGAGCAACTTTTAGCAAAAAATAACCCTCTCATCTTACAAAACATGAACAAATACTGTAGAATGGTAGTCACTGATGTCTCATCACCATTTGCTTCTGATTATTGTTTCTCATGATTCAATTATAATTAAATGCTTTAAGCCAGGGGTGGTGGCGCATGCCTGTAATCCCAGTACTTGGGAGGCTGAGGCAGGAGGATCGCTGTGAGTTCGAGACCAGCCCGGGCTACATAGTAGGTTCCAGGTCAGTCTCAACTACATAGTGAGACCCTGTCTCAAAAAACCAAACCAAACCAAACCAAAAAAAATAATTAAATGCTTTAAACTGAAAAAATGCTAAAGGTTATGTATTGCTATACTATCATAAGCATTAACTTGTGGAAAGATGATTGCAGATGATTTTTGCTTTCTAGAATATAATTGATTCTAGTATTCATAGCAGTTTATTAGAAAGTTGTCTCTACCACTAATTTAGCAAATACAGAACCACCATTGCTTCTGGGTGAGGTTCCTGTGGACCTCCAGTGACAACACTTTCCCCAGGTGATGAGTATATAAACCTGCTTTATGTGTGTTTCTGTTCAAAGACACTTCCTATAGCCTCGGGCTTGTGGCACACACTTGTAATACCAGCACAGGGGAGGCTGAGACAGGAGGATTGCAGGGATTGCAAAGTCAGCTTGGGCTACATAGTGAGTAAGGCCAGCCTGAACTATAGAGTAAGACCCTGCCTCAAAAAAATAACAAAACAGAGACACCTTATTTAATATATATCCTACAAATAGTTCTATGCTTACATGTAGTATTTATAAGGAAACATCCTAAAGAGCATTTTGGTGTAATACACTGTTCTGTACTGAAATTGTATTGCTTTTCCCTATGGTCATAGTCATACACCTGCTGTCTACATATACAGCACAGTCAGTACAGTCTGAATACTGTACAGTTCTCATGGTAAATATACACAGCACTGTGAGCACATTTTGTGCAGCACAGTAATAAAAATCAAGTCCTGAAAAAAAGTTAAGATTAAGCATTTAAGGTTTTTTTTTTCAGCTTTGAGTTTATTGGTACATTTTAGGGATACATTACAGTTACATTCATTCTTGGGATCTTGTACCGCTACCTGACAAGTCTTGAGTCTCATTTTTTCCCCTTACCCCTGCCCTCCCTTCACCCCCTCCTCCCCTCCCCATTTACAAATGCTTTATTTCCATTTTTTTCTTTCCCTTATTACTTTCCCCCTACCTTTCTCACTTTCCCTACACCTTTAGCCCTTTTCTTCCTATTTCACATTGTCCATTATCTCATTAGGATCTTATGTAGTATTATAGTTTATTCACACCAGAGAAACTATTTGGTATTTACACATGTGTGACTTATTTCACTAGCAGTATATCCTCAATATGTATCCATTTTCCTATGAATGAATCTAATGTCTCATTCTTTATGGCTGAGTAATATTCCATTTTATAGAAAAACCATATCTTCTTTATCCAGTTTCCAACTGATGAATAGTGACTGATTTAAAACAGTCCATCATGGCAATGTCTCTGTCAGCCTCCAGAGTCTCCCAAGCCTTGGTGTAACGCTCTCTGGTATAGCATGCCTTGCAAGTTTTTATGATGCCCTGACTGAGGGGCTGGATGAGAGATGGTGTTTGGGGGCATAAAAAGAACTTCTACGTTGGAGTGTGCATTTTCGACTTCTTCACAACAATGGACTGGGACATTCTGCAAAATTACTAAAACCTCGGAGGCAAGGTTTCTGCCCTGTAGATGGTGTTCAACTTCTGAGATGAGGCAGCAGTGGAACCAATCCGATAACACCCCTGCTTTTTAATTCCGCCTCCAATGGCCTGGCATTGTGGCTCACATTTTTCCCTTTCAGTGCTTGTGCAGTCGAGGCTCTGCGGACTATGAGGGGTTTGCACCTAAAGTTGCCCTTGGCACTGGTGCACAACAGTAAGGTTGTGTGGTGTTGGAATGACTTAAAACCGGGGCTCAGGAAGCCATTTGTATCCTATAGGTTCGTCTGCCAAAATCCTTGTAAAATAAGCCAGTCTCATCAGCACTGAAAACTTGCTCTTCTACATAGCCCTTTTCCAGTATAACATTTAGCAAGTATATTTTAAATTCTTTTGCAGCCTCCTTCCTGATCTGGAGAACTTGCCTTTTCTGCAAGTTTAACGTTGTTCACACCATATCGCCTTTTGAATCTTGCAAGCCAGCCAGCACACGCCGAGAAGGGTTTACTATTTCGCCGACCCTAAATTTCTTTGGCTTTCAGTCTCACAACAATGCTGTTCATGATGCTCTTTTTATCTGTCGTCATCTTGCGAACCCACAAATTTAGCCGCTTTTCTATCTTTTCTATAGCCTCGTCACGCACTATAGATGTCAGTTTAGCACTTTCCGGGGCAGCCTCACGTACAGATCAGTGAATTTCCTTTTCCTTTTTCTTGATGTATCGAATTGTCGATTCATTAACATTAAACTCGCGGCCAACAGCACTAACTCATGTCTGAACCGAGCATATCTAACACACGCATTTTCTCCAAAAGGCACATCGCGGCCCTTTTGTGCTTAGAAATATTAGACAGTACTTGAGCAGTATGCTTGGGGGCTATTTAAAACAGCAAAATCAACAACAACAAAAAAGCACAACGATGCAGAAAAAGGCACTGAGTAGTCCGTGAAGAGATCCCGTTTACAGCAGGAGAGTTTAAAACAGAAGACTGCGCCTCTACCGCGTTCAACTTCCGTTGGGAATTGACACCTCTGCGACTCCGGATTTTCGCTCTCTGCGCAAGTTTGGGAATAACCGCAGAAAGTACTCTTATTGTTTTGGGGGTCAAGAATTAAAAACTTAGTGATTAAGCAAATTCGAAAATATCAAGCCACAAATAATGACTCAACTGTATTTCCATTGATATATAATTTTAAGGATATTTACTCAATCAAGGCAGGCGGGTAGAGCCTAAGACTACAAGTCCCAGCATGCGCCGCTTCCCGGCGGGTCAGCGCTCTCCCGAGAGCCTCAGGCACGTGCACTCAGGAGCAGCGACCGGAAGTGTCGCTGCCAACAACGTGACACTCTGTGCGCATGCTCACACGCTGCTGGGGCCACGCTAGCTGCCGCCGCGGCTCTATGGTCTCTGCCTAGGGCTTGGCCGTTTAGTGTAGCAGCTGTAGTCCTGTGGTTTCCCGGCCCCGAGCGGCAGCGGCATGGAAGAATTCGATTCCGAAGACTTCTCCACCTCGGAGGAAGACGAGGACTACGTGCCGTCGGGTGAGCGAGTCTGAGGCGAGAGGCGTGTTCGCCCCGCCCCGCGCCTCACGTGAGGCGCGCCTGCCCCCGCGGGCGTCGGCCC